ACTCCACACCAGCCCACGGCTGAGTGCCCCAAAGCAGAAGTCAGATATGCCTCTACCCTCCATCCTTCATTGTCCCTATCTTGACAGCAACCATCCCTCCGATGGCACTCTATTTCTCAGCCAGGTTCAATAATCGGTTCTATAACTACATGGAACTCATAGGCAGTACTCACTATTATGAGTTTACTAGTGAAATTAACAGGTGTCCACAAGTCAGCATTAAAAAACATCAAGGATGCAGTTTTTTGTCCATGGCAGCCATGTGTCTCCCTGGGCTTCAGTGCCTCATGATCTCAGCAGGTTGGCTTCTCTGCTGCCTCCACGCCTTCAGACAAGGATCTCACTTGTGTTCCACTGGTGGCCCTTCTTTCTTGGCAACCATAGGAATCTCTGTTCTTGCTTCTCAGGTAGCTATCTTGTACTCAAAGGAATGGCAAAACGGAACAATTTTGAGGCAGTGTCCTCTATACCTTATTTGCATGGCCCTGTCTAAGCATTGGTGGGAGTTATAGAGAAATGGAGCCATCAATAAGTCATTTTACTTCACCACGGTGGTGTAAACACTGTATTCTCAGGTACTTACTGAAAGGTTGGTTTGAATCTGCACAGCAGTACCAAAGAAGAATGGCCTGGCAGTCCACGTTTATAAGATTGCAGCTCCTGAAGCCTCTTCAGAATAGTTCTGTATAACATACAAGGGTCACTGTGCATCCCAGTTGACTCAACAAAATGGATATTGTTCTGTACGTTTACATGTATTTTTGTAATGTTTACACTATTACATATAAGTATATAATATAGGAATTCATAGCTATTTGTAATAAAATTCATGTACTTTAATTGTAATGTATTACATTCATTAGAAGATACACAATGTGTGTTGTCAAAGAAGGAATTTTTAAATTAAATGTAAATTTAAATAATCATTTTTTTCAGTACCTGAGTTATACCCACTCTACTTTAAAACACAGTATTTTTTGAGATTACTAAATATAAAGCCCTTTTAAATTGTAAAGTGCTTCACAAATGTTCATTTTATTTTATCATCATCATTTTCAGTGTACATTCTGTTCCCATGTGGCGTTATTGCCAGTTCAATTAACACCACTTATTCAGATTAATATTGCTAACTATCCAGCTTAACACATCTGTAAATGTACAACTAGTATTGCTGAAGAAAGTCCAACTGTTGAGGAATATCTTGGGTATAAAGTTTGAAACCACATTACAAGGGACATTAAAATTGGGCCCGTGTCAGATTTAGATTATATTCTATAGGAAACCAGAAATATAAAGGAAATGATTAAGAGATGTGCTGTTTGGTAGATAGAATTCTAAGAATCCAAGATTCTCAGGCGCTGGGGAGCACTCACCTCTCCCCTATTATTGAAGGCTAGTCTAGGTGCTGTTGTAAAGAGACTTTGCAGATGTAAGTCCGTTGACCCAAATAGCAGTGTGGAGGAGGAGGAGGAGGCTACTGGCTGGAAGAAAGCAACAACCTGTGGTGGGCTGCTTGTGAGGACCCCTCGGCAAGGAACTGAAGGTGGTCTGTGGGTGCGAAAAGTAGTCCTCTGCCGACAGCTACGGAGAAAAGGAGACCTCAGCCCTAGAGACATAAGGAAACGCATTTTGTCAGCAACCAGTGAGCCTTGAAGAGGCTGCTGAACCCCTTATTACAAACTATAGGCACTGCCAACATGTTGGTTTCAGCCCAGAATTCAACCTGTGGTACTCACACTTCTGATCTTCAGTGACAATTGAGCATCAAAGTAAATAATAACTGACACACACAAACCCTGTGCCAGCGAACCAATTCCAACTCTATAGAAACGAGTAGAACTCCATAGAGTTTCTGAGACTAAATCTTCATGGGAACAGACAGCCTCAGCTTTCTCCCATGGCGTAGCTGGTAGGTTTGAACTAGTGATTTTGCAGTTAGAAATTCAATGCTTATCTCACTGCATCATCAGGGCTCCTTAAAATTAAGCAATAATGTAGTCTAATCCATTGGGGAAAAGGTAACCTGGAAGTTGTACAGATAGAAATAATTTAAAGCTTTGATGGGGAATGTAATAGGTACATAGCTTTAAAGTACTTACTTCCAATGAATTTATTATTAACAAAAGGAAAAAGCCACTTTACAGTGGGACAGTGTTTAATCAGGTTCTCAGAATGACCAACAGGAGTTGGTCAGATTGAAGTTATGTGCCACCTGGTATGATGTAGCGAGGAGAGCATATATTGTTTCTGTACCATCCCTGCCACAGATGAATGACACTTTCCAAACCAGGTGGCCTATACTTTCAAAAACGTCTAAGCAGTGAAAGGTGAGACTGAGGAAACAGTTCCAGACTGAAGGGATGACAGAAATGAGACATCTAAATGTGATTCCAAACTAAACCCTTTAACTAAAAAGGACATTATTAGACTCACACTTCTGGGTGGTTAAACTTGATTGAAGTCTGTCAATTAGATGATGGTAATACACTGATGTTATTTTCAGATCTGATGGTTACCTTATGTTTATATAGGAGAATATCTTTGTGGGAAATTCATACCAACATGTTTTTGGATGATAGGTTGGCAGTATATTTTCAAAGAGTTATTTCTTTGTGACTGCTTCATAATAAAGATGTCACTAAAATTAGAATATAAGAACTCGCTGCAGAAGGCAGGCAGACCCGAGACTGTACTTGGTGAGTCCTGTGAGTGCTGGGACATGGAAAAAGGTGGCCCTGAGCAGCCTTTGTCAGATCTTGGGATGAACAAAGAGCCTGGCAGGGTGTGAGGTTGGACCGCACAGCTGGGATTGTCTTAGTGCAGACTGCTCCTGAATTTCTTTCCGTGGAGACCAACGCCAAAGCGAAACTCACTCAATTCCGACCAGAGCTGGGGGGTTTTCTGGCTGGCTGTCTACAGCACCCGGGAGGAGCGGGTGGTCCAGGCGTGATCAAAGAGTAAGTGGGAATGACTCTTTCTCCAGTCCCCGGAATCCCGGGGATCCTGCACTGCAACACTTCGGGCCCCATATTGGATGAGGCATGCTTCGTTGGAAGCATTGATTTTATGTTTATTTGTGAACGGGCGGAATATGAGATTACCAAATAAAATATAATTTCAAGTGTTATTAATGAAAGAATATATTACATTCACTTTTAATGAGATTCGGGTGTTGCAAAATGATTCCATGTAATGAATCCCAGGAAATCAATGAAAAGTTTAATTACAGCCGTGGCAGTGTTGTATGAGAATATTGCTTTGGTCAGTTTTATTTGTACAGTTTATCAATCCTCCTGCCTTTCTCTTGCTTTAAATTAATTGCTTTGATGAAGTGAGCATAAATACATTCTTTGTTAGCGTTTTATTAGTATTGTTTTAGAATGGTGTTGTAAAACACTGTTTTCTCCTTTATATCAGTAACTAATCATAGTTTATATACATGGCCATTCACAAGCTGTGAATTTTTTAAGGAGGTAAAATATCCATTTCTCAGATGCATTCATTCTATTGTCTTGCTGACATAATGTTCTTTTTCCTTTGTCAGTTTTTTGCAAGTCGCTGCCTGTGTCTTCTCAACCAGACCCATCCGTCAAAAGCTAAAGTGCTTTCTGGATGGCTCATCTCTTGAAGTTCTGGAGTGAATTATAAGAAAAGCAAAATAGTTCCTCCTCTGAATTCATTTGATATTTGGCTTCATATAACTACATATACCCTGTTGAAGTGATTCTTTTTTTAAAGAGCGTGTTAATTTTGAGAATTCAGAAATTATAACACAGTCCACTATGGTGGTCATTGATTTTTTGTTTGTTTGTTTGTTTGTTTTGTCTATAAAGTATAATACTGAATGTTGGTCTGGATATTCAGTTTAAGTCAACTCTATATTTTTTAAGTTCTCATGAATTCTGTGTATTCTTCTAACTGCCACTGTTGTTTAAGTGTGGCCTACTTTTGGTTTAAGTTCAAGGCCTTGACAGTGATTGTTGGCCCTGTGGAGAGAAGTAATTTACATAGTTTCATTTTGAGAAGGAAAAACCTATAGTTTCCTACTCTTCAAATTCGCCCACTGATACCATCAACCATGCTCCTTGGGTGGTAGAATTCTTCTGGGAGAACTGAGAAGGAGGCTGGGTGATAAGGAGATTGTGTTCCAGGCCTGGCTGGTCACTGACACACGAATCTATGAGGAATCACGTGACCCATCTGGAGAGCGGGTGAGCTGTGCAAAACAAGACGTCTCTCATTTCCACACGGTTCCATAATTTATGGCTTGATTTCTGAACAGTCTCCTCGAAGAAATGTGCAGTTTGAGTGTCAGAAAAAGGGGCTTTGTTGCTTGCTCTTAAGATGTTTAACTTGATGGCCACTAAGTGTGTGCAGGGATGACTAAAAGGACTGTTATGAAAGGTGTGCTTTCCCTATTGCAGGGTAAAATGCTCTTCTATGCTCCATCAGTTTTCATCTGGTTTTCATATCTCTGTTCATGTTAAAATGCCGCCCAGATGCAACAAACACCTCTCACTGTGTCTTGGTTCATTTGCCTTCCTGCCTCTCACAGTTACCAAGACTTAACCATTTTCCAATCAATATATCCTGTATATCTATTTAGTACCCACTTTGACTACCATTGTTCACAGTGATTACTAGGATAGCCTCTTCAGTTGCCTCTCAAGAGCCATAACGAAGTTCCACCTGAGCACAATTAAGTGTTACCTTCAGCACAGTACTGACCACAGATTAGGTACTCACTGAAATGTTTGCTGAATAAGTGAATGATTGAGTCCAAAATAGCCACCTTTTTTGATTACTCTTTAGTATAATGGAGGTAAGGAGAAAATGAACACATAAAAAATGTAAAACCATAGTTCAGATGAGTAGGCTGTAGTTCGTGTTATTAATGCTAGCAGCTAGTTTAAGTGGAGAGCAATCTGCTGTTTGTCTTTTGGCTGTCGCCCTGGACCGTGTGTTGGTAATCACGCAGCGGCGCTGCTTCTGTGTTGCAGCTCTCGTAGTCAGCACCACTTCCGCTGGATTTGCCTTGGCTCCAGGGCCTTTTGACCTGCCCTGCTTCCTGCTCACTTTTGTTGGGACGGGCCTTGCATCCTGCGCTGCCAACTGCATCAACCAGGTCAGTCTGTCCCTCTTCAGCTCGGTGATGATACTGTCGTTTCCCCCTGGACTAGAGTGCTTTATTGTATATTCTAAAAGACCTTTAAGAATAATATGTGTGGGTGGGTTAACACTGGAAACTTGGTCCATAGAAGTCTGAGTCACTTCACTAATTTATCTTTTTTTTTTTTTTGAGGTCAGTGGTTTTCAAATATGTTCAGATTTATAAAGCAGTGTAGTATCGGCTCCTCATAACCAGGAATCGTTCAGCTAAGGAATTTAGAACTGCCCTAATGTTCTCATCTTAGCGATAGCTCTCTCGGTCCATTTCAGATCCTTTTCCCTGAGCTTGTCATGTCAATGTTCTGGCCTTTTCTGGACTGGACTTAATTTGTTTGAAAATCACTATAATGTGTAGTGGAATGTACTTTCAGTAAGGATGTACTTTTAAAAAGTTATTCAGTAATTAGTTAACTTGGTGTATGAAATCAGAATGTATTTTAAAAATTCATTAGCATATTATTTTGATATGCCTTTTTCTCTATGATTTGAAACATCAAAATAGTTCCCTAAAAAAAACTTCCCCTGGCTGGTCTCTGCCTTGTGGCTTTTTCATGAGACAGTGCAGTGAAAAAATTTTGGCTGTAGCTTAAGGAAAGTTGTTTTCATCATCAGAACACCCAAGAGGAGTTGGCTCAGTTTTGAAACAGGAATTCAAATTACCAGCAGGAAAACAGCTGAGTGAGGGTATATAGTTGACAGCCTGCAGAACATGTGAACTTTGATAATTTGATAGCTTTAATTTGATAATACCTACAATCTATATTTCTACAATATATTTTCAATAATTGATAGGAGACATCTGTTTATATAAAACATTTTTTTTCCAATGTCGACATACTCTTATATAGGGCAGTTCAAATAGTGCTACCCGTTTACCAAAGGTGTGGTCCTTTTCTGTAAACCATAATGCTGTTTATTCTAAATTTGCGCCTCTTTTGCTACCCACACATTTACTTCTTGCCCAAGAGAATTTAAATGCAAAGTAATGTAAGTAAAATGGGTTTTTCTTGATGGTTTTAGGTCCTTTTTCAGTTTGTTGGTTTTTTAATTACAACCTTTATTAATCTATTGATGAAGTTAAATCCAGAGCACATTCTAGTTTTCAGATTCCTTCTTTAAAATGAAGAGCTGTGTTGATCTTTGTGATACTGCTATCTTCTGCCTGCATTACGTAGATTCAAAGGACAGTTTTAAAAGTAAAATATGGAGGTTTCGGGAAAAGAAGTAGCCGATTTCAAAAAACGAAGCCATTGCGCTTGAGTTGATTCTGATTCAGAGACCTTATAGAACTGTTCCATGGGCTTCCTGAGGATATGAACCCTTATAAAAGTAGCGTTTTCTCTTTCTCCCTCAGAGCAGCAGGTGGGTTTGAACCACCAACCTTCCAGTTAGCAGCTTGACACTTAGCCTGCTGCACTGCCGGCCCCCTCCATAAGTATCCAATGGTTCAGAAATCCTAAAATATAATTCGGAGTTACCTTGAGGTGGAGCTGCTTTCTGGCCTCACCGTCCTCCAAAAATGTGCATCAAGGGGAATTCACTGTCAATTATGGCTAGAATGTTTCTGGAGAAAGGAAAGAAAAAAGAACTTCTAAAAGGAATTATGCACATTTAGATAGAAATGCATAAAAGATGATTATGGGCCAAGGTTTTAAAATTTCAAAGTGTCTACAAGTTTAGATGGCTGTTTGACTTTAGAGTCTGTAGGCAGCATCTTTGCTGAGGGGGTAAGTTAGGTTAACTGCTGGCGTCTTTGCTACTGTGTATGCGAGGTTAAGTGACCAGAGTTTTTCTCTGTTGAGAGTGGGAGGATTTAAGGCACCTAGACCATTCACATATACAATGTTTACCATTAATTCTATTATTATTAATATAAAAGTTTCATCTATTCCTGACCCTCATTTTCAGTATTTGATTATCTTCTATGTAGCGTTATTTATGGATTTATTAAAGAATGGGAAGGGCAAATGTGCTGACCTTGATGTGTGGTTATCTGTTAACTTCCCTAATAAACCCCCAAATTGTGATTCTGTTTGTGAGCTCTGTGTGGCCACTGCAACGAATTCCTGAACCCAGAATAGAAGTAGAGTGCCATGGGAGGGAGGGTTGATGGCCTGGTCGGTAAAGAAGAATGGAGCGTGGAGGCAAATCTGACCCCAGCCTCAGGGCAGCAGGGAAGCCAGAGGAGATCAGATATGGCCCTCCATAGTGTTTACTGCGTTGTCTGTGTGTGTGTGACTATCGGTATATATTCATTACAAGTGTGTGTTTTTTATGTTTATTCTTCACAACTAAATATGTGGAGATGCCTTAGATTAAACAGAATTAATTCTCTTTGGAAGGATGATGGAGTTAATATTGTCAGTTTTGGTAAACTAAAGAAATACTGGCAAAAGGTTAATAATTCAAAAAATAAGCACATATTTAATCGAGATATGCAGCGGAAATATGGAACATATGCCAACATGACACAACCTTGCTTAATGAAAATGAAGGGAACTTGAAGCACCTACAGATGAATATTAAAGCCTTCGGTATGGACCACACCGCATATAAAGAGAACAAAAATCTTCACAACTAGAGCAATAAGCAAGGATTTAATTTTATCTGGATTTACAATCAACCGCCATGAATGCAATCGTCAAGAAATCAAGCTACATCTTGCAACAACCAATCAGAAGATCTCTTTCAAGTGTAAAAGACTAAAGTCATTTTGAAGACTAAGGTATGCCTCCCCCGATCCAGGGTGTTTTCCATCACTTCTATATTGGTAAAAGCCGGACAATGAATAAAGAAGACCAAAGAGTAATTAAGCTCTTTGAATTATGGTATTGGTAACAAATTTGAAATCCAACACAGACTTCCCAAAGAATCCACAAACCTATGTTGGAAGAAGTACAGTTAGAATACCCTTTAGAAGTCAGGACGGTGCTCCTGTGCTCGTGTACTTTGGACTTGCCACCTGGAGGGACTGGGCCCTAGAGAAGGACAGCATTTGTGGAAGCGGGGTCGGAGAAAAAGAGACCTCAACAAGCTGAATTGAACACAGTGGCTGCCGCAGCGAGCTCAAACTTACCCATTGTGAGCCTGGTCCAGAACTGGGCAGTGTTTTGTTCTCTTGTACATAGGGCTGCCGTGACTCGGGATCTACTGAACGCCATCTAACAATAACAATAGCACTCCGATAGGACTTTTTTGAGCTGTGTTCTCTGGGTCCCATGTATGGATAAACCAAAGGTAGCTAGATAGTTGTTGTCTTGGGGCGTTTGTCTACCAGAGGGTGAGTTTCTTCCCAAGCTTTTCTTTCTTCTTTGTAGCCTTTTAATCTTAAATGATGTTTTGTCTTTGCTGGTAGTTTGTTCTGAATCCCATTAGCTGTTGCTTCTCTGCCCTGAACCACAGATCCCCCTTGTTGTTTTCTGGGCTAGATTAAATCCTGCTTGACTGATGACAGATGACACTGATATGAAAACTGACGGTGTGGTGGGACTGGAGGGAACAATACCATTTCCTGGTCACATAGGAACTATCTTTGTTTTAATGACAAGCTGCTTTTCAGGTTTAATATGTAAAAATTCTTGATGCCTTGACATATATTCATACCTCACTATTTAAGGTATTTGACAATTCTGACTTCCAACTGAGCTTCCAGGCACCAAAAGAAATAGGAATTGGGGTATGTGTGTGAGGGTGTGTGTGAGGGTGTGTGTGTGTGTGTTAGGAGGAGGGCGGGGAGATGGACAGTGAAACAGATGTTATTTATTATACCTGTGCTTTCTTAACCTGGTCCAACTCCTGCAAATTCTTTTGTCTCTTTTTATTTCTAACTACAGATGGGACTCCAAAATGCTTTAAGCAAGATATCACACCTTTAAAATTTGTGTGGGTGATTAAGTAAATCCTGAAACATTTTCACGACCACCCAGTCCTGGCATACTGATTTTCTAAGAAGTTTTAGATTTTTTTTTTTTTGTCAGAAGGGGAAATTACTTACCTGTGTAATTAATCTTAAGAAAAATTTCACTCTGGCATTTCCTTCAGATCCTATGCCAGATTTCTCCCAGAAGCAATGATCACAGGAAGAACAAAGAAATTTAAAAGGATTTGAATGATGGAATGTAGAGATAGGATGAAACAAAAGAGAAAATTTGGTCGTTAATAAGATTTATGTATACTTGTAATTTAGAGTATACTGTGTAACCTTCACATATAAAATAATATATAGTTTTAGCTTTTATTCTGAGTTTTCTTTACTACGAGAAGATATTTATCTGCTAGCTTATAAGAAAAAAATTCACTGAAACAGAAATTTAGTCAGATATCTGAACATTTTCATTAATATTTGAGTAGAATTAAGATTGTTCTGCTATTGCTTTTAGCAAAATCATGGTTCATAATCTAGATGATACCATTGTATATATCACTACCATTAATTGAATAAGAAAAACTTAACTGTTCAGTATATAATTTTCTTAAACATCTAGTTAAAGATATCTGAATACAGACCCCTCTTCTGATACTACTGATATTGTGTCCTGATTTGAATAATAGGAATTAAATAGCACATCTCACCTTAAGAATATAAATATGTTTTAAGACTAGATTACAAGTTCTTATAAAAAAACTCAGTGATTTGTAAAGTAGAATATTAGCAGAGGATGCCATTTACTGTGCTTAGTTAGAATCCCTCCATGATTTTTGCTTACTCTTGAATAAAATGACTGATCAAATGGCAAAATACCTTATTTCAAACAAGCATGCTATCAGCCTTAAAAATAGAGATGTGAACAGTCCCCATGCCCTTTCACAATCTTAATATGTTTTCCCAGAAAAGAAAAATATGTTTTCAACAGATCTTTTGCCATCCTAAATAAAGCTGGTATACATAAGCCAGGTGATTTATAAAATGACTCTTTCTAGTTTGTACTTAGGGAGCATAAGACTTTAGGTTTTGTT